GAGAGAGAGAGAGAGAAAGAAAGAAAGAAAGAAAGAAAGAAAGAAAGAAAGAAAGAAAGAAAGAAAGAAAGAAAGAAAGAAAGAAAGAAAAAAGAAAATCCATTCAAAAATCCTGGACTATCTAGAAGAGATGAACAAATTTCTAGGTAAGCATGACCTGTCAAAGATAATTCAAGAAGCTACAATATTTTTAAAAATTAACAAGATCTACCACAAGCAACAAGACTGAAAAAAATACTAAATAATAACCCAAGAAAGAAAAGCACAGGATCATCAGATTCACTGCCCTATTCTTCCAGACCATTAAAAAAAAATGTGTAAGAGAGCTAGAAAGATGGCTCATCAGTTCAGAGTATTTTCTGCCCTTCCAGAGAACTTGAATTTGGTTCCGAACACCACATCAAAGAGCTCACTACTACCTGACACTCAAACTCCAGGGGATCTGACACACTCTTCTGGCCTCCATGGGCACCTGTACACACAGGGCATATAGACACACAGGTGTGTACACACACACACACACACACACACACACACACACACACACACACACACACTCAGAGGGAGGGAGAAATCAACACTACGGCTCCTCAGAGAACTCCACAAAATAGAAAGGGAGAAGGAGCACTACTCAACTCATTGTACAAAGCCAGGATCACCCTGGTATCAATACCAGATAAGAGCACAACACATAAGAAAACTATCCACCAAATTCTCTAATGAACATAGAAGTAAAATCGCTTTAAAAAGTCCCTGCAAACTGAATTCCAGACCACCCTGATAAAACTCATACAGCATAACCATGCTGATAATATTCCAGGGAGTCAAGGATGGTTCAACATATGCAAATCAATAACTGTAATACAACTGCATAAATACACTAAGGGCAGAATCACAGGATCATGTTAATCAAAGCAGAAAAGGCTTTAAAAAAAAAAAAACCAAAAACCTCAACATCCTTTTGAATAAACCAATAATAAAAAGAATATTCTTCAACACAATAAAAGCTACATACACCAGGCAGTGGCAGCGCATGCCTTTAATCCCAGCACTTGGGAGGCAGAGGTAGGCGGATCTCTGTGAGTTCAAGGCCAGCCTGGTCTCCAAAGTGAGTTCCAGGAAAGGCACAAAGCTACACAGAGAAACCCTGTCTTGAAAAAATAAAAAAATAAAAGCTACATACATAGAAACACGGAGAGAGCCCCTCAAATCAGAAGTAAGGTAAGGGTGCTCTCTTCACTCTTGTCAGGCTAGGGAATGAAGAAAAAAATAAAAGTGATAATAACAGGAAAGGAAGAAGTCAAATTATCTTCACTGCAGGTGACGTGATCTTATAATTTAAATATCCCACCAGAAAAATCTTAGATCTAATAAAGACTTTCATCAAATGAGCAGCATACAAAACCAACATATGAAAGTCAGTAACTTTTTATGTATCAGTGATGCACCTGACATGTACACAGGACATAAAAGCAGAAGCGGACTATTTTGAGGTGGAAGGGGGCCAGCAGGAAGGAGAAAGAAGAATGGGAAACGGAGTGCAAATACGAACAGAGTACATGAAATATAAAAATGTTATAATAAAACAATTGTTTTATATTCTAAGTAAAATAACGAGTCAAAAAAAGAATATAGCCAAAGATAACTGACTAAAATATAGTTTTAATGGTACAGAAATGCTTTATCTTCAAAGTAAACAACATTTAAGACTTTTTTAAAGGTATTTTTTCATTTCTAATGATAATTTTCCATAACTGAATAAAATTACCAGGCAAAGTCACATGACTAAGAATATTAATGAATAACATTTTTAATTCAATAAAAATTAATTTCAATCCAATGAAATAAAAATAGTTTATTAAGTTATCTTAGAAAAAAATGACTTCACATATAAGCTTTGAGGTTCTCCTAAAATTTAGGAATGATCTTTATACTCACATTGCTGGCTTAATATGGGATTTTCTAACTGGGTCTGAATCTCTTGAAGGTACTTCGAGGAAACCCAGAGGAAAAGGATAGCCTGGGTCTTCTTACTGTGATCATCATCCTGGCTTTTCCATAACCCAAACCTCTTTAAGTGTGTGGTGTCCACTAACAGTGAAATCTCATTCATGGACACTGAAAGACATAAAACAAGCAATTTAAAATGTAATCTATTTAGGCATACACCATCTCTGATACATCTTGATATACTGTATAGCTTAGTAAGGGTTTTTATTGCTGTGATGAAGCACCATGCCCAGAAGAAATCTGAGGAGGAATATGTGTGAAATTGCCAAAGGAGAAATTTAAATTGTCACCTAAGGAATGAGGAGAATGGGAGAAACAGCCTTCCCCAAGGAAGAACATACCAACTGGTTATCCAATGTCAAATGGTCAGTCCTGACAACATATATACAAGTAACACTACAGGGACTAAACAAGTTGCAGTGATATATTTAGGGATATATATTATATAATTATATAATATACAATATTATATTATAGAAAAAGAGGACATGAATTTGAAAGAGAGAAAGAGGGCACATTGAAGTGGTTGAAAGGAGGACAGAGGAGGAAAATGATGTAATTTTATTATAATCTCAAAAAATAAATAATAATAATTCATCTGAGAAAAGAGGTGGACAGTAAAGAAATTATGGCAAAACATCTTGACATGTGCTAAAAGAACTTGACATTGTTCTTCACAGACTCCTGCCCGGCCATGTTTATTGCTTCTCTATTCACAATAGTTAGAAAATGAAAACAACATAAATGCCCTACAGCCAACGAATGGATAACCAAAGTGTGGTACATATACATTATGGACCACTATGCAGCTGGAAAAAAAAAAAAAAACTCCTGAACTTTGCAGGTAAATAGGCAGAACTAGAAAAGATCCTATTGGGTGAGGTAACCAGACTCAGAGAGAAAAACACTGTATGCTGTCTCTTACTGGAGGCTCCTAGCTTCAAATCTTCACAAGTGAGTGCACAGCCTAGAGTTAGTGCAGAAGCAGGAAAGTGAAAAGGGATCACTGCAGGAGGGCGATAGGGGGTGGTACAAGTGAAGGAGAAATGAGAAAGTGGAGGGCCTCTCATTAGGGAAGGAGATAAATCCAGAGGAATGAGGGGGTAAAATAACAGTAAGGACGCCTGAAAAAGTCATAAAGAATCATATTATTAACTACCAATCTCAAAATCCCTATAATCCATAGAAAGTCTATGTACACATATACATATATAGTGTAAATGAAACTTTCCATCTGGACTGCCAATGCTCCCTCTAAGACCCAAAGACCATCTAACAAAAACCCCAACACCAAGGATAAAAAAAACCTCCTTTAGAGTTGTTGGTCAGCGTTGTTCAAGGGACTCCCAAAACATTACAGGCTATTGCCCTTAGCTGCCCCGGAGAGGTGAGGTAAGTCCAGACTGCTGAAGACATCCAGCACATCAGACACAGGGCCCAGAGACCCCTGAGCTGAATGGACCTGAATGCTTCCTCCCTGAGGACTAGCTCTCGCACTACCAGAAGCCACCATGCAGGCTTCCAAAAGAGGGAGGCACCCAACAGTCCAACCCAGCTATGATGCCTAGGAACCACAATGACTACCAGCATGGCACAATAATCCAAAGGGTGCAGCAGTGGCATGCATACCGTGGTGGTAACCAACAGCTCTCTAAAAGGACTTAAGATGCCGCACCAAGAGGGAAATCATGCCTGGTTCTAAAAACCTAGCCGACTATTCAGAGTTGGGGAAGCCACAGATCCTGGAGGAAAAAGAACCTACAACCACCACTGTCCCTAACTACATTTTAAATATTTGTCTTCATGCCCACAGATTAAGTGTATTTCTTACCCCCAGACAGAGACCATCACAGAAAACTCACAACTGATCCCACTGCAGTTGTGCATCCCAGCCCCAAGTGATACATCTACAACACACCTGAACTAAGGCTCGGGGACCATCGTGGGAGAGGGGCAGAAAGACTGTAAGAGCTAGAGGACCAGGGAGTTTGCTGTGAGAGTGTGTCTCCTATGGATGTCAGAAGCCGCATCCACCAAGTCTTCCCAATGGGACTGCCCGAACACGAGCTCAGCAAGGACAACACTTCGTTAGCTCTTAATAATTAGTTCTTAAATACAATAGTGTTTTCTAGCAAGAGCTATTAAGATGCTGTGTGGCTTATACGTTCTCACTACTTAAATGGTTAATCCAGTCAATGGATTTATTACCATAACAGAGTTTTCAAGTCTGAACATGCAGGAGCCAAGGAACTGAAGCTGCTTCAGTTACGTCTTCAATGTCGTCACGAAGCTTCTCTTACTCTAGTTCATATCTGAAGTGTTATCTGTGTGTACATTCTTCTTCTTTGTTCTTTCTATAATTCACTCTCTAAAGAGATTATTCTCTATCAGTTATTATTTTTCATCACTAATTATTCTGGAATTTTTCTTTTTTTTTGTAGACAGAATGAGAAAACAGTCTGCGTCTATTTAAGCTTGTAGTTACATTTCCATTCTGCTTTACTTAGATAAGATATAGCATAAAAAAAACTCTGTCGGCCGGGTGGTGGTGGTGCACGCCTTTAATCCCAGCACTCGGGAGGCAGAGGCAGGCGGATCTCTGTGAGTTCGAGGCCAGCCTGGTCTCCAAAGCGAGTTCCAGGAAAGGCACAAAGCTACACAGAGAAACCCTGTCTCGGGGAAAAAAAAAAAAAAAACTCTGTCTATACAAATATATACTATATGCTTATGTGCTTTTTTTTCCTTTAGTTCTTAATCATTTTCATGTATATCAAATACTTGAGCTGTCAAATTTTTACAAGAGTACTTTATTATCATCTGATTTATAGTCATTAAAACAATAATTAATATGTTCCTTTTGGTACTATAAAACATTTTAAGGTTTATTTAGAACTGCAAAAAATGTTGACATCAAACGTTATTAAACTACCTTCAGTTTATTTATTTTCTATGCTGAAAAGTGATGGAAAACTTGTGAAAGAATTTCAGAACTTTTTCTAATGAATTACTCAAAAAAAAATGTCATTAAGAGAAGATGGCTTACCTTGAAATGGGATTTTAATATACTTCGTTGTGAACTAAAAAAAATATGAAACAAAAAATGAGTTACTACTCCAAGTGCGTTTCTACTCAATTTTCTTAGTATTAGAGTATTTAGTACTATTCAATTTTTAGTACTTAGTAAAAGTACTAAGAATCAAAGCAAAGAACTATTTCAACATAAAGACTTAGTTTTAGGGTTAAGAGTCTTTAACTGTGCAAGTAACTTTACCAAAATACTCGTTTATAAAAATTGGTAAAACCCTACTTTTCAAAAGTGTGTCCTGAAATTTTAAGAGGTAAGACAATGTCCGAAGAAATGCCAGAAGAGCACACAAGGCAGCTATCTCCAAAGAAGACTATTCTCTTAGGGATTAACCAAACTCACAAGAGTCAACTGATCAAACGAAGGTGCCAATGCCCTGTCTATCTGTAATGAGACTTTAAACATACCAGAAGACTCGGCTATACCCCACCATATTCTTTTATCTCGGCAATCATTCCCTTGTTCCTTTCGGGAACTCCCTTCTGACTGAGGTCCTTGCTCTTTCTGATCCTTCTACTTCACTGAACTATTTCCTCTGGATGTCTTCTTCGTGTCTGTTCAGCTTAAGTGTTGTACTTATAATTGCACTCAAGGCAAAACCTTCCATGTACTATCTAAATCAGATTTGTCTTTTGATAATTGCTTTCTTTCCCCTTACTAACAAGTAAGTCTGCCTATACTTGCTTGGTTAAGTTCTCTTCTGATCAATACATTTATGAAATTATTGACTATATCATAGATATAACTTGTGAACACAAGACAAAACTCAAATAGACAGCATATGAGTTCTAGACAAGCAACAAAGTGTTCAACAACAATACTGGTTTACTTGCATTCCATTTATTTTCTTAACTTAAAAATTAGTTCATATTATAATTTTTAAAAGTATAAAACTCCTATTCCACGGGGTTGGCCAGTGAAGTCAAATGTAAGGCAAGGAGGCATACTGGCTAAGTGCTGAGTTTGGAGTTCAAATTCTGCTTCTGTTGTTTCTACTTTACAATTAATGAGAAATAGTGTAGCATGATGTCGCTAGTATCAACTTTCTTACACATACACTCTCTCTTCCTTTCCTTACCATCAAATATTCTTCTTCTACCAAACCTACTTGGCAAGAATCTGATACTGATATACAGCTCTGCATGCTTACTATAACAACATCCGATCCATTCCAGCTCAATTTTAAAGCCCAGGTAAGAAAGTGATACTGAAGGAAATCCAGTTCTTGAAATCATCTATCTATTTAAACAAGAATAAAGTTGACTGTAATGCTAACATGTAATACCCTTCAACAGTCAGAAGAGCTCTCTGAACATCATTTGTGCCTTGTAAGCCTTTCTCATTATCATAAGTGGTAACATTTTTTAAAAAAGAAATTATATTTACTACTGCACTCTCTGAAGAAAGAAACAAATGACCAACTAAAGAAAGCTGCTCCAATTTACCTAACTTCCCATCATTAGTTTTCTAATCCAGCTAAACAGTAACTATCATAATAGTGAGAAATTTATCTTAATTACAATAATGTCTAACAGTAAGTACTCTGATGTTTGAAAGACAAAAAAAACATTTCTTTCATTTCTGTTACAAAAAATCATGAACTCTGTCTGAAAAAGAATCCATATAAAATATCTCTTGAAGGCCAAGAAGTTTTTTAAGACTTTTACTCTTTTCTCTTCTGTTACTTCCTATATGTTTTAATTTTAAACACTCTCTACATGTTCTCCCATCATAATGCTATATTACAGAATTTCTCTCAATCTTTCTTCATGTACATAAATCTACGTTTTTATTAAACTGCTTTCCTGAAATAAGACATAAATTTGTTTTGAGACAAGGTTTCAAGCTTGTGGGCTCAGGTGACCGTCTCACCTCAGTCTCCCAAATGAGACCATAAACGGATACTACTGTGGCCAACTTAAACCCAGTGATAATTAAAGCAAAACACTAGGGCAATTGAAATGGATGACAAATGGAAATTGTAAAAGACATCCATCCCAAAGTGGAAAGGGGAAGTAAATTAAATTCATATAAGTGTAGTAAACTGCAGAACAATACATCTAATACTGTTTTATAATCCATATGAATGTACGAGAAATAAGAAATTATATACATTCCAAATTAGCAGGTGCTGTCTTGGTATGCAAAACTGTTTGTGGTCTTTATGTAGATTTTCTTGTTTGGTTCTAGTTTTTGCCTACAACAACCTTTACACTGTTCTGAAAGTGGAAAAAAATGATCACTAATAGTTTTTATAGTTTTTCTTTTATTCTGGAGATTATAATATAATTCCATCATTTCCCCATTCTCTTTCCTCCCTCCAATCCTTCCATATGCCCCTCCTTGCTCTTTCAAATTCATAGCCTCTGTGTCCATTAATTATTGTTTTCATGCATATCTGTATATGTAGATATACATATATTTCTAAATATGACCTGCTCAGTCTGTATAATGCTGCTTGTGTGTTTGTTTTCTGAGCAGACCATTGGTATTGGATAACTAAACAGTGTGTTTTTCCCTGGGGAAGATTGTGTCTTCTGCTCTCAGCATTCTTAGTTGCCTGTAGCTCTTTGTGTGGGGTTGAAGCCTTGTGGTCCTTCCCTTGTCCACTTTGGCATGTCTATCGCCCATTTTCAGCTTGTCTTTATGCAATCAGGTGAGGAGACAGTACTGAGATTTTCATATAGAAAGTTATAGGATATACTTACCGTGACACAACCTTTTGAAGCTCCTTTTATTTTACCAATATACACAGAAGTAAATACGAAATCCAGTTTCAGATCCATTTCACTGTTAGGCATAATACAGGAAATGTTTTCCATGTCAGGATTGTATGGACAGAATTCAGATGATGTCTAACAAAGAATAAATTATAAATGTATATAAATTTCTAAGAATTAAAAAAAGCTGAAATTATATTCAAAGACAAAATTCTTCTTTAAATTATTATTAAAATTTTTTATACTATTCTTAATGTGAAAAAATAGTCACTAAAATTGTTTTGTATAAAAATGTAGATTTTAAACTTATTTTTCAATTTTGAATCTTGGACATTTTTAGATTTTGCATGTGCATATGTAAAAATGAAGACAGACTTGAGATTAATTGTATGAGATATTTTAGATGTGTTGAAAGACATTATACCTATTTTGTTGTTGTTGTTTTGTTTTTCAAGACATGGTTTCTCTGTGTAGTTTTGGTGCCTGTCCTGGATCTCACGCTGTAGACCAGGCTGGCCTCACAGAGATCCACCTGATTTTGCCTCCCAAGTGCTAGGACTAAAGGTGTGCACCACCACCGCCTGGCTTATAAATAAAGGGTTTTAAAGAGAAACATAAATGCTTAAGAACCCTGTTACATCAGATCTATATGTTTTATTATAGATTCTATATTTGAAGATAGACAACTTGATGTGAAGAAAAGAAATAATTCCAAGTAGACATACTACTCCAAGAGCAGACAAATATCAAAGTTATAGTTCAATGAGAACTACAGAAAATATTCAAGTCACAGAATATTTAGACTAAAAAGCATGTCACTAAAACTAACAGGAAAGCTGTTGCAAAACCCACACTCAGGAAATGCATCATCTTTATCATAATATTCTGCTTATTAAAACAATAAGTAGATATTAGGCAATAAGAATATTTCACTGAGGCCGGGCGGTGGTAGTGCACGCCTTTAATGCCAGCATACGGGAGTCAGAGGCAGGTGGATCTCTGTGAGTTCGAAGCCAGCCTGGTCTACAAAGTGAGTTCCAGGACAGCTAGGACTGTTACATAGAGAACCTGTCTCAAAAATTTTTTTAAAAAAAGACTATTTCACTGGGGGCTGGAAAGGTGGCTCAGCAGATAAGGGTTCCTTCCACTAAGCCTAACAACTGAGCTCAGTCCCTGGAAGGTACGTAACAGACGAAGAGAACTCCTGCAGGTTGGCCTCTAACCCACAGCTGTGCCACGGCCTGCACCTCCCCACATCCCCACATATAAATAAGGAAATAGGTAAAAGAACTGCTTTAAACTTGGACAGTGAAACAGAGGAAAGGTTTTTAAAGTAGCACTTGACTGCTACTCTGTGAGCAGGCAGAAGTAAATTACCTGTACAGATTCGCATGCACTCAGGGGTAGTTCCGACAACTGTGCTTCAGAAGGACCCTGGTGTTCACTTGCAATCTCATAATCTCGACTAGGCTGTAACTTCAGAACTGCCGAATTCTTGTGTTCAATGGGTCCTTCTTCATCACTGGAAACAACAACTAAAAAGGAAAGTATGTTTTAAATGTGTCACAATAATGACTTACAGAAAAGAACTCTCTACTTAAATATCTTGAATAATCACATTAAACCTAAGTACCTAAATTCAACTTAAGTCTAACCTGTCTTTCACTAGCTGATTAGTATTGTCATAAACAGATTTCATATTAGCATTACTAGTCAACAGCTTCCTGACTAAAGCCAAAAGTAAACATGGTACACTCTGGGTACTGAGTGTCTTCAGGGATCTACAAGTTAAAAACTTGGGCCCATAAGTGTTACTTCTGAGATAAAGTGGAGCCTTTCAGAGGTGCGGCCTAGCAGTGGAAGATGCACAGGTCACTAGACATCCCTAGGTCACTGAGGCTTGCCACAGGGATATGGAATTGCTGTCCAAGCCATTCCCTTTGCCCCCTGGAAAATGAAATATGTGGTTTCACTCTACTGTATGCTCCTGACATTTCCTGCCTTCTAGAACATTCACCCGCAGCAGCCCAAAGCACTGGGTCCACTCAATCTTGAACAGAAGCCTAGGTAACTTTAAGCCAAAATAAATCTTTTCCTCACCTCCCTCTCTCAACTCTGAACCAAAATCAGTATTTTATTCTTTCTCTCTTTCTTTTCTCTTTCTTTTGTGCTGGAGATTGAATCCAGAGTCTTGTAAATAATAACCAAGCATAATGCCACTGAGCTATATTCCCAGCCCAGGCTTTAATTATGTAATTATATCAGGCATTCTGTTACAGTGATAGAACTAACAGACAAGTTTCCAAACAATTTCTAGTTTTGACAAAGCATTACGATATCACTCTAAATTGTGTCCTGAGTCCTTTCACATTACTTTCTTGTGGTGGGGGTAATGAATGGCTAGAAGATATAGATGCAACTCATTGTGTACCCTGTAGAATTTTGAATTTTTGTGTCAGAGGACAACAACAATTTTTAAGAATTGACTAAATCAAATTAATGACAATCAAGTTGAATTTAAATTCCACTCCAACAACATACAATAATAACAGTCTTCAGAGAATCTTTTTTTAAAACTACTGGGCTACTTCATGGTAAATATCTTTAAAACTTACTCTCAGGACTGGAGAGAGGGTTCGGTGATTAAGATCACTTTCTGCTCTTACAAAGGACCTAGGTTTGCTTCCCAGCACCCACATGGTGGCTGACAGCCATCTGTAACTCCAGTTCCAGGGAATGTGACACCCTCATTTGGCCTCTGAGGGCACCAGACATGCATGTGGTGCACATACACAAACATGCAAGCAAAACACTCACACATAAAATAAAATAAATAAATCTAAAGGACAAAAACAAAACAACTTTACTGTTTCCAGACTCTACTTGTTTGCCTGAATTAGTATTACAAGATTCATAAGGGAACCATCCAGGATGTTTTTCCTAAATTTGATATATTTCCCAGAGGCTCAAACAGCTTATGGCCTTAGGAAAATTTGAGAAAAGCAAAAGCTCTGAGTAAAGCTTTGAAAAGGAGTGTCTTTACAATCTTCTTTTACTTACTTGGTTCAGCTGAGATCAACAATTGGTTCTCTTCACTGTTTCCACCTACAAGAGACTTTTCTTTCACGGTCAAGTCCTCGTCCTTCTCAGCCGGGGAAGAGCCCTCCACCTCGGTGTGAGAAACGGAGCTCTCCGAGCTTCGGGTGGGTGAACAGGCCCTCCCAGAGGCAGCGGTGACACCTGACTCCTGAGCAGCAAGTGAGCACACGCTGGTGGCATCGCTCTCTGCAGGTTCAGGTGGGGCTCCTTCGGGGGGTGCTGGGTCCTCGTGACAGTTGTCACTTGGCTGCTCAAGCTTACTGGGAACTGTTGAGTCATTTTCTTCTTCTTTCTGAACAGTTTTTAGAAAGTAGAGAGATGACATTTTTCCACTGCGTTTCCCTAAGGTATACGTCTAAGACTTAAATTCATCAGGAATAACATAAAAATGAAAGTGTACCATTTGTGTAAGTATGTGGACAGACAGTACACAGCTATGCTAATTATGCTTGGCAGTGCCACCCAAAGACAATGATACAGGGTTTAACCCATCAAATCTGATGCCCCAATAATTTTTAAAGGGTCAAATAAAGAAATTTCTGGGCTGGAGAGGTGGCTTGGAGGTTAAGGGCACCGGCTGCTCTTCCAGAGGTCCTGAGTTCAGTTCCCAGCCACCACGTAGTGGCTCACAACCATCCACAATGAGATCTGGTGCCCTCTTCTGGCCTGCAGGCATACATGCAGGCAGAACACTGTATACATAATAAATAAATAAATCTTAAGAAAAAAATTTCCATATGTGGCAAAGTCAGAGCTAAATAAACTTTAGAATGACTGGATTCTTTTTAACATTTTTATTTCCAAAGTCGTAACAAAAATTGCTCTTTAATAACAAAAGCAAAAATAAGAAAGAACATCAAAACTTGTGAAAACTCTTGCCACCAAGCCTGACAATCTGGGTTTGATCACTTGTGCACACACCGTGAGAGGAGGGAAGCAACTCCCACAAATTGTGTTCTGATAGCCATCTACACATGAGCACACGTGTGCATGCACACAAGCACGAGTACGCTTGCGCGCACGCGCGCGCGCGTGCACACACACACACACAAACACACGGAAATAATAACGTGAAATAAAAGTAATGCGATTTAAAATTTAAAAAATAAAGTTTACAAAGAACTAAAAAAAAGTCCAGTAAAGTAGAAAGTTCAAAGACTATTCATTAGTTGGCTACAGTTAACTCATTTTATCACAGCACAAAATCATTCCCTATAGCATTTAAATACATCTACTTACTATATATTCTGGTGACTTATCCAAAGAAGATTTAGAATTATGAGAATCCTGTATATTACTTCTAACTCTTTTCTTTCTCTTCCTCGAAACTGGAGTGTGTTCCATTTCTGAACAAGAATGTGAAGCGTTCTTGTTTCTGGTCCCCTCTTCAAGATAGTCACAACCTTTATTTCCACTATTAAAGTCTTTAAAAAACATAAAAGGCACAGTTATGCCCAAAACATACAAAAGTTCCTCTTACATGAGTTCATAGCTGTATTGAAATCAATACACTGTCTAAAGCTCATGTTAAAACCTCTATAGTGACACTGGAAGAAAATATAAAAGTATATCCTACATTAACCAGCTCTGTTCTGTAGTGACACTGGAAGAAAACATAAAGGTACGTCCTACATTAACCAGCTCTGTTCTTCAGACAATAGATGTGAGGGGCATTTTATAAATTCTGTGGGGAGGAAATATCCCTTCAAGAAGTAATACAAATGAAACAGCTAACCATGGTTTCTCTATTTGGTATAAATGCATTTGTTGTTGTTGTTGTTGTTGTTTTGATTTTTTTTCAAGACAGGGTTTCTCTCTATGTGGCTCTGGCTGTCCTGAAACTCACTCTGTAGACTAGGCTGGCCTCAAACTCAGAGATCCACCTGCCTCTGCCTCCTGAGGGCTGGGATTAAACACCACTGCCCAGCTAATAAATACATTTGATAATATATTTAAAGGGTCTTATGAAAATATTGAAAATCTGTCTTTTAAAATGTTTGTATAATTTACCACGATTTTTAAAACTAGTCACAATATATTTAACTTAAAAGTAAAGGCACTAAAATTTAAGAGTAAAACTATGATTGCTGTTCTTTGGAAAGGAGCCAAAATATCTTTCCTTACCAGTTGTCTGTGGAATGTGATCATTTACAAGGAAATGCTTGATAATCTGCTTCTTCTTTTAATAGTCAAAATTCTCCCAATCCAATAAACCCCCATTCTGAATTGAAGAACTTCTTTTTTAAGTAAAAAGTATCATTTTGGAAAGCCATGTCAGTCATCACTAAAAATGCTTTTTATTTCAGTTAACAATATACATCACACAAAAAAATACCTTCCTATACGTTTTAATGGGAAGTTTGAATTATTTAATTTTCTAAATCATTATTATATGAGAATCAACTCCAAATTTACATGCCCAAATCACAAAGCAAGCCACATTTAGTCACAACTTACATTAATTTTAAAAATACTAGATTCAGGCCTGGCAGTGGTGGCCCACGCCTTTAACACCAGCTCTCAGGAGGCAGAGGTAGGCAGATCTCTGAGTTCCAGGCCAGCCTGAACTACATAGTGAGTTCCAGGACAGCCAGAGTTCCACAGGGAAATCCAAAAAGAGAAAGAGAGTGGGAGGGGGGACGGAGGGAGAGAAGGGAGGAAGAGACAGAAGAGAGGGAAGGAGGGAGGGGGAAGGGAGGGAGGGAGAGAGGGAGGGAGGGAGGGAGGGAGGGAAGAAAATTAAATGACTGGCTTCAACTTTCCAACTTAAAAAAAAAAGATGAAAGAAACAACTATCCTATTCCTTCTCCAAAGATAATAAGCTTCCCAGAAATCATTAACACAATACTTTTAAAAACAGTAAATTTTACTTGTATTTCAAATCAGTAAAAAGTCAGATACAGTATGGACAGCACAACTTGAGAGTCAAGGCAAAGGTTTTTCAAATAAAACCATCAGTACAGGAGGCATTCAGAAAAGGTAAGTGTGAATGTAGGAGGAATTAGGAGTGGGTGTAAATATGTTCAAAATATATTGTATGAAAATCTCAAAGACTAATAAAATATTGTAAAAGATCAACCACAATTTCTTAACATAAATATCAAAATTTCTAAAAAAAAAAAAAAAAAAAAAAGTTAGTAAAAGACTAAGAAGAGTCCGGTACAGTGGGCACACCTTTAATCCTAGCACTCAGGAGGCAAAGGCAGGTGAACCGCTGTGAGTTCAAGGCCAGCTTGGTCTACATAGTATCTCAAAAACAAAGGAACAAATAAAGGAAAAGGGAACGTGAGAAAAGCTGACAAAACATATTTTATAGGACTCTACCTTCAAATAATTTACTACTTACAAAGCAGTAAGCCAAAATAGGAGTAAACTTATTATACAGAGCTGGGCATTGTGAAACTAAGGTTCTACTAATATACTATATACAATTTAACATGGAAATATTCCTATTAAATGAAATTCAAAAGTCACAAAATTCCTACCAATAAAACATATTAAGCATTTCCAATGTATTCTTACAGTTTAAAGAAAAAGAAAATTCTACAAGGCAGATTCATTTCTCTACAAAAGGAATACTACACTTGTGATTTACTTTAGAATGTCCTTTGTGGTAAAGCTTCAAACAACCAGTATCAGAAAAGTTATCTTTTTCTTTAATTATCCTTTTTCATTGTTGTTTTCTTTCCTTCTTTCTTTCTTTCTTTTCTTTTCTTTTTTTTTTTTTAATGTATGAATGCCCGGCCTCAGCTTGGCTTGTTTCTAGCCAGCTTTCCTAACCTAAATTATCTTGTTTCTCTTTAATTATGTTTTGCTTCTGGGCTTTTTGCCTTTCTTTATCCTATATATCTTTCTTCCCTTCTGACTCTGTGGCTGCCTGTGTGTCTGGGTAGCTAACCTCTGGCATCCTCCTCTCCTTCTTTTCTCGCTCCTCACTCCTTGCTCTCCCTAGATTTCTCCTATTTATTCTCTCTGCATGCCAGCCCTGCCTATCCTTTCTCCTGCCTAGTGATTGGCCATTCAGCTCTTTATTAGACCAATCAGGTGTTTTGAGGCAAGCAAAGGCACGCATCTTTACAGAGTTAAATGCAATGTAAAAGAATGTAACACATCTTTGCATCACTAAAAAATATTCCATAGCATAAATGAATGTAACATTGATCTTACATCTTAAACATTTTACATCTTAAACTAATATTCCACAACATTTTCCCCTTTCTGTCTAAGTAAAAATGAAAGGTTTCAACATGGTAAAGCTATATACAATAAAAAGCTATAAAATAAGAATTACATTTACAATATTCCATCCATTTGTATTTAGCAAATTCAGAGAAAATACTTCATTACCCTTTTGTTTTGTTTTGTTTTTCAAGGCAGGATTCTCTGTATCCCTGACTGTTCTGAAACTCGTTCTGTAGACCAGGCTGCCCTCAAACTCACAGAGATCCACCTGCCTCTGCCTTCAGAGTGCCAGGATTAGAGGTGTGCGCCACTACCGGCCAGCAATTCTCTTATTATTATTCTGTATGTTTTAATTAGCATATAAGGCAATGAGTTTCATTATGGAACTCATTATACTTTGGTTTCTCTTCATCAATCCTCCCCAGTTCCTCTCCCCAGTAACCCTGTAGCCAACCTACTTTCTAGTTTCTGACCTATATGCACACTCATTCCCACATAACTACACATAATATTCAAATCAGAACCCAGGAGACCTTATACCTCATTTAATATAATAAGCTCCAGATCCAACCATTTCCTGGCAAATTTCATGACTGAATTTTTCTTTAAAGCTGCATGGGTTTATTTCTGGGTCTTTGATTATATTCCATTGGTCTATGTGTCTGTTTTGTGGGAGTAGCATGCTGTGTTTGTCACTGTGGATTTGTAGTATAAACTGAAGTCACTCATTGTGATACCTCCTGGCAATGTTCTGCCTATTTAGTTTTGGTCTGGATGTCTTTTCTGTTTCCATATGAACACTTAGGATTATTTTTTCAAGTGTTGTGAAGAAGGTCACTGGAATTTTGGTGGGGATTACATTAAATCTTTATGTTAGTTTTGGCAACATGGTCATTTTCATAATATGGTGTTAATTCACTGATCCAGAATAATTTGAAAAATCCTGGAATAAAGTTAAACTGATAGCACACCTACTAGAGTTTCTGAGACAGAACCAAGGCAGCCCTAGGAAGAAAGTTTATGACAAAATAATAGCCTGTGTCTGTGTGATTATGAGAGTGAGTGGAAGAAAGTGGAAATGAATAGCAACAAAAGAGAAAGAGCTACAGAAAACAGAAATAAGACGAGGTGGAGCTAGTCAGTGTCCCCAACCACACCACATGACTCATAAAATCTCAAGTATTCAAAATAAGACTCAGCCAGTTTCAGTTACAAAACACTTCGGCTAAAGTCAATTCGCTCGGGTTGGTCTTCAAGCCCTAACAACTAACCGTAAGGCTAAGAGCATATAAATAACGCTATACTAACAAGTTTCATATCGTTCCTAAGAAATGTTCCCACCATGTACTAAGTGGCTATGTGGAAGCTTGTCTCTACAAAGTTGCAATGCTTTCTCTAGTAATTGCCCTCAAAAAAAAAAAAAAGTTTCCACTGGCTTCTTGTATACATAAACATTAAGTCTGGTTTCCTTCGTTTCTATGAGGTCTACTAAGAAAATATTGTAGGGTTTGGAGAGATAGTTAAATGATTAAGATTACTTGTTACCCAACTACAAGGACATGCACTCCTGGAACCTATCAGGCATGGTCTTGCATACACCTGCTACTCCAGCTCCAACAGGGTGGAGGGAAGAGGCTGGCTGGGGCTTACTGGCTGGCTGCCAACCCAGCTCTGCCAGTTTAGGGAAAGAGTCTATCCCAAAGGAGTACGACAGAAAATGATAAGAAAGGCCAAAACCTTTCTCTGGCTTCCTCAGGCATACACACACACACACACACACACACACACACACACACACACACACACACCAACACACCCCTAACAACAACAACTCCCACACACACAAAGAGAATCCTAATAGTTATATTTAAAATGAAATACATAAATTTTTGCATAGTGTGATTAAAGGCCATTTTTTCTCATGAATAATTTAGAAAATTACTCAGAAAACAAAATATCTCACTTTGTTTTAAACTACCAACAATCCGAAGACATTCTAATGGCTAAGGTAGTAAACTAGTTTTTCATAAATTTTGGTTAAAAAAAAATTTAATCTTAAAAGAAAAATTAAAAGTAAAGGAGTCATAATATTATTAATTATATATATCAGGAGACATATGAAGAAGTTTTAGAAGTCTGAGATATATTTACCTTCATGTTTGCTAAAACTGGCTTAGGTAGGCATCCTTTCAGAGTTAAAAGAAGTTCTGACCAATGCATTTTATAGTAAGAGAATACAGTGGGTAGCTCATAATAAAATTCCAGATAACAGTAATGTTAAAATCCATAAAAACAATGATTTGAATAGCCAAACTAACATAACTTCATAGATAGTTTTACTCCATATTCATATAAAAATACAAAAAGCAATATTCAAATTTAACTTTTGGGACTGGCAAATAAAGAAATAAATATATACTTAGATACGTAAATAGATGCTTTGGCAATTTTATTTATATTAGATAACTGTTTACTTTCACATATCATTTTAATATCACTATAATATTCAACAAAAACTGCTGTAAATACAATAAGCAAAATTCTAATTTCCGTTTGCTAGCAATCACAAACCTTTGGGCTGAGTATCAGATGTCACAGAAATGCCACTATCAGCTCTGTGCTTTTCCTTCACACATGGAGTCTGCTTTGCAGAAACGTTATCTGTCTTACTTGGTTTTGAGCCTCTGCAAAACAGAATTGGATTAAATTCATTTCTAATAATGCTCAGATGAATTTAGAAGACACCTGACACAAATTCAAATAAAAATTCAATAGGCTAAAATAATACATTCTTATGTGTGATACTATATGCTATAGGTACTTTTAAAAAAAATATTGATGCTGGGGTGTGGTGATGCTCACCTTTAATCTCAACACTCAGGAGGCAGAGGCAGGTGGATCTCTGTGAGTTTGAGGCCATTCTGGGCTACAGAGCAAGTTCCACAGCAGCCAAGGCTACACAAAGAAACCCAGTCTCAAAAACAAACAAACAGAACTACTGAACTCAGATTTGAAAAGTTTCCATCTCTGTCTCACCCTTACACTCACTCCCAAAGGTCTCTGGGGGAAAGACAGGCTATCAACACTGTATCTGCAAAATGAAAGAATAATCTTACATAAACTAGGCAAGTCAGAGCTTAAAAAGTGAAATTTCAACAACACAAATACCCTGATAATCAATCAGTGTGTAATAAAACAATTATAAGCCAAAGCTAATTGTTAATATAGTTCAAAAATGGTTCAAAAACAAACCTTAAGAAAAAAATAAAGCTTGGAATGTGTTAACAAATTTTATCTATATAAAATAATTAAAAAATTTAAGTTATGGGCAAAACTAAAATAAAATGTTGAGGGAAAAACAAATTTTCGACCTGGTGTGGTGGTGCCCTCCTTTAATCCCAGCAGAGACTGGAAGATCTCTGTGAGTTCAAAGCCAGCCTAGTCTACACAGTGAGCTTTGAGACAGCCAGAACAACACTGAAAGACCTTATCCCGCACCACCCCTGCGAAACAAAAGAAAAGGAGGGAGGAAGAAAAGAAAGAAGAAAAACAAAAGTTTCCATGATAAGAATAAAACTTCTAGCAATTTTTTAAAAATACAAAAGAGGATCCATATAAAAGAAAATATAAAATTGGTCTGGAAGAATTCAAACCTATTTAAGTTATGGATTATTTAAAAGACAGAGGATGAAAATATAAGAAGGTAAAATATAAATAGCATCTTTACTTTGCAGTATATTTCTTTTTAAAATATGAGCACAAATTTGATACATAAGAAATATGTTAGTTAAATCTAAGTAAATGTAATATAATATTCTCTATATCTAAAGACATATTTTAAACAGTTTACAACTGTAAAATACAAGGTATTCACAACTAAGGTAACTCAAATAAGTGAAAGGAACTAAAAGATGAGTAAAATATAACCTATAAGAAAAATGATTGAGAATAGAGTAAATAAATTATAAATTTAAAAGCTATAAGAGACAAATATTACCAATGTACTACCATAATAAAAGGATCAGTTGTTGCTATGATTACACTATTGAGCCCTTTATAATTACTTTAATACTCAGTTTAACTTACAAAGAACTTTTGACTAAGTCAATTCATTCTAGTTAGTCTGAAGTCTCAGCCATCAACTTTCGGCAAAGAGCATATAGGTAACACTATACTAGCAAGTTTCATTTACTGAAGACAAAAGCCTAAGGCAAAGCAAAGTCTGTTTTGACTTTGTAACTTCCCAGCAAAATACCACAAAGCACTATAAACAAAACTAGAATGTGATATAAATTTTTTTAATTGAAATGGAGTTAAAAGTAAGGAAACAGAAAAACTGGAGCAGAAATTTAAAAGATAAAACTGATTTTTAAATGCAAACTATCTCTGCTTAGAGATAACTTGATGCTATAGCTAACAGGCCCTAAAGAGGGGCTGGAGAGATGGCTCCAGGCTCCCAGTGCCTGTTGCAGAAGCATGAGGACCTGGAGGACAGGTCCCCAGCGCCTACATACAAGATTCCCAGCGTCCATGTAAAAACCAGGTGGGCAGGCCCCAGTAAATGAAGCGGATAACAATTGAGGAAGACACCCAACCCCAACCTTTGGCCTCTATATGAATGTACACACACTCACATACACGTGAACGTGAATACATACATGCACACACATCATACAAACACGCAAATGCTAAAAAAGACCATGAAGATATGAAGATTCCTCCAGAAAACTTAAATTTGACAAATACTTTCAGCAATAAAGCAGGATAAAAAAAATCATATACAATGTAGCTTTTATACATACCAATAAAAATGCAAAGAAGTTGGGATAAAAAATCTATTCACAATAGCTTTTAAACAAATACCTTGTAACAAGCCTAACCAAGGAGGTTAAAGATCCTCTATAATAAAAACTTTAAAACACTGAAGAAATTCAAGACCTAGAAGTTTGGGAAGGCCTCCTTTCTCATGGACTGTCAGGATTAATACTGTGAAAATGGATAATGTCATTGAGAGAAATCTATAGTTTAATGTAATCTCCACCAAAATTTCAATGACATTCTTTATAAAATTAGAAAAAATAATCCAAAAGTCCATATAGAAGCACAAAAGACTCCCAAATAATGAAAGCAATCCTGGACAGTGATGCTGGATGTATCACAATACCTGATCTCAAACTACATTACAGAATCACAGTCACGTGGCAATGGAAAAAAATCATACACGTAGACCAATGGAAAGAATAAAAGATCCAGCAGCCACCACCCTGAACATTCCTCATATCCTCTGATCTTGGAAGTTGGGCAGGGTCTGGCCTAGTTAGAACCTGAGAGGGAGAACAGAAGATCGAGAAATGTTTCTGCAGCTACAGCCACCTCATTTTCAACAAAGGTGAAAATAACACACACTGGAAAAAAGCCTCCTCAACCACCAGTGCTGAGAAAACTGAATACCATATGTGGAAGAATGAAACTATGTCCATATTTCTCATCCCTCACAAACAACAACTCCAAAAGGACCAAAGACCTTAGAGTAGGATCTAAAACTCTTGGAACTGTTAGAGGAAAACTCTTCAAGATATAGGCACAAGACAAGGATTTCCTGAAAATAATTCCCGTACTATAGGAAATACTCTCAAAAATTATCAAATAGAATTACATGAAATTAAGGCTTGTATATAGAAAATGAAACAATCATTAAATTGAAGAAACAATCTACAGAATGGAAAAAGAAAACCTTAACAATTATATATCAAACAGGAATTAACATGGAATCTATAAAAGAAAAACCTATAAAAAATTTAAAATACAACAAATCATTCACTTAATAAATGAACTAATGAATTAAAGAGACAGTTCTCTGCCCCTTCCCTATGGAGGGATACCTTGCTCTGTCTTGATACAGAGAAAAGGGGTTTGGTCCTGCCTCAATTTGGTATGCCAGACTTTGTTGACTCCCCAAGGGAGGCCTTACCCCCTCTGAGGAGTAGATGGGGGGTGGGATGGGGGGAGGTGGGGGAGAGCGGGAGAAGGGGAGAGAGGGAGGACTGGGGTTGATATGTAAAATGAAAAAAATTAAATAAAAAGAGAGAGACAGACAGACAGAGAGACAGAGACAGTTCTCCAATGAAGAAACACAATTGGCCTACACATTTTTTTAAAAAGTATTCAAGATCTTATGGTGTTGGTGGTGGCTCGTGGCTTTAACCCCAAAAGAGGCAGGTGGATTTCTGTGAGTTTGAGGTCAGCCTGGTCTACAGAAAAAAATTCCAGGATAGCCAAGACTACGCAGAGAAACCCTGTCTCAAAAGACCAAAACCAAAACCAAAAAAAAAAAAAAAAAGTATTCAAGATCTTTAAGCCTATCAAGGAACTCTTAAGTTAAACATGCAGAGAGATTCCATTGCATCAATATCAGAATTGCTATCATCAAGAAAACAAATGCTGGCAAGGTTGCAAGGACAGGGGAACTTTGATACATTGCTAGTGGGTGTGTGTAAATCGGCTTGGCCATTGCAGAAATCAGTATGGAAGATCCTCAAAATACAGAACCAGCCATACTGTGCCTGGATCTATACCACAGGAAAACTAAGCATACGACAGAAAGACTTAAATACACAAGATTATTGCTACACTATTGACACACAAAAAAAGCTAGGATTTAGAACAAGCCCGAAACTCCTTCAGTAGAAAAATATATAAAGAGAATGTTGTATATAAACACAATAGAATTTTATTCAGCTGTAAAGAACAATGAAAATTATGACATAAGCCAGACACAGAGAGACAAAGACTGTTTTCTCTCAGATGAAGAATCTAGACTTAAATTTAGATACACATGCTGCATAAATACATATAGAAGACATGAATGTAGAAAAAGGTCTATGAGAATGAACAAAGAAGTGCAAGAGGAGGTATGGAGGGGGAGACATAGGAAGGTAAAAAATACATGTGACATGAAAACAGTAGGGATATTTGAAGTTCAAAGAAGGAGGGGGGGCAACTAAGATCAAAGTATAATGATATATATGTATTAAAATATACATGTATTAAAATGTCACAGTAAGAGGTGGAGAGAAGGCTCAGTGATTAAGAACACATATACTTGCTCTTGCAGAGGACCCAAGTTCGATTCTTCCAGAGGACCAGAGTTAATTGGAGTTGGGCAGCTCACAACCACCTATAACTCTGATCCAACAACTCTGGCCTCCGAGGGCACCTGCACTCGTGTGTACACATTTGTGCACACACACAGACAATTAAAAATAAAAATACATCTTTACAAAATGTCACAACAAAACCCACTATTTTGCATGCTAGTAGTTAACGGTTTTAAAAATCACTAAGTAAATGATTTAATGTTATGCCTTAATGGAAAAAAAAAGGAGAATAATAACAACAGAAAGAAAAAACTGTAAAGATTTCAACAGAAACCTAAACTAGGAAAACAGTACAAAAGATCAACAAAACTAAAAGTTGTTTATTTGAAAAGACAAACAGACAAGCTTTTAAATAACTTTAGATAAACTAACACAGATGAAAATTAGAAGTAAAAACAGAGCTATTACAACAGATAAATCTAAAATGAAAAGGAGTGTGAAAATATTACAAACTATTATATTCCTCAAACTGGGAAACTCTGGGGAAAACTTATAAATTCCTAATCATAAACAAACTACAGACTACC